TAAAAAGCAATCATATTGAAAATTAGGTAATTAAAAAATACTTTGGGGCTGGCTGATTAACTTACTCGGTTAGAGTGTGGTGCTGACAACACCAAATCAAGGGTTAAGATCCCCTTACCGGTCATCTTTTAAAAAAAAGAAAAAAAGAAAAAGGGTTTTTTTGTTTCATTTTTTTTGGGTGGCTGGCCGGTGTGGGAGTCTGAACACTTGACCTTGGTGTTATCAGCACCACACTCTAACCGAGTAAGTTAATCAGCCAGCCCCAAAGTATTTTTTAATTACCTAATTTTCAATATGATTGCTTTTTATCCTATTCTAAACTTTTAGGTATTAACATAGTAGAAAAGCAACACACGATACAAGTCAGGAAACTTCCAACTCTTAACAATCAGCAGGGTGATCTATACCTCACACAACATAAAATCTATGTCATCACCTTCATTGGGTTCTTGTAAGGGCAGTTGATAGTTCAGTAAATGTCTTCTGATGTATAAAGTACAAAGTTACGAATAGCAGATAAACAAGTTAATAATCTGTAGATCAGCTTTCCTGGCTGGGGAAGAGTACAATTTGAAGTTGCTGTCAAACAGTAAGTTATTTTAACAGCGGTTATATATTTATGAGGTTTAGTAATCATTTCTTTTCCAGTTAATGAGGGGCAGCTTTCCTGGCTGGGGAAGAGTACAATTTGAAGTTGCTGTCAAACAGTAAGTTATTTTAATAGAGGTTATATATTTATGAGGTTTAGTAATCATTTCTTTTCCAGTTAATGAGGGTTTTTTTTCATGCATTTTATTTTTCCTTTAGGTAGTCAAGCCACATACTCCATTAATAAGGTTCCCTGACAGAAGAGACAATCCTAAACCCAATGGTATGTTGTACTTTATTTAGATTTTTAAAAAATGTATACATGCATATTTTTAAATGAATATCCTATTATAGACAATATTTCTCACTTTTAAATCAGACTGTTGTAGCTCAGATCACAATGGTACCTTAGGTAGACTACAAGTAGAAATTAGCTTTTTATTACTCTTATTTTAGAAAGGTAAGTGATTCAACATTAGATGTTGTGGCACTCTGCTAGGGCTAATGTTGGAATCCTGTCGACATTGCAAATTGTAGCAGTCTTAATCCTGTTTGTGATGCCAATTGTAAAGCTACACAACCACCCCAGTTGTCGGGCTCTTTTACCTGCTGGTAATCCTGCACCGACTGGGCCAATTGTAATGCTAGGGCTGGGTCTGAAGCTCACAGACCTCCAAGCCCATTGTCCAAACTGGGTCACAAACCCTTCACATGCCAGGCTGGGTCACCAGACCCCACACACGCCAGGCTGGGTTACCAGACCCCTTACACGCAGGTCTGTGAGCTAGGTAACTGGCCAAAAGGTCCTTGGAGCCATAGGTTAGAAAGCATGGCTGCACCAGGCGGACGCCTGAGGCAGACGCCCACCTGCCTGCTTCACCAAAACTCTCTCTCTCTCTCTGTCTCATTGGCGCGCATCTGCAGTAACTCCACACACACTCGCACGTGCTCGCGCAAACACACACAATTTGTGTACAGTGGATATGCTAAAACCACACCCAAGTGGACCAACAGATGTCTCTAAATTTTTAGTGATATTAGTTTTATATGGAAGAATTTTTGTCCTACCTTTCTTCCTTTATCCTTTAGAAGATTCTGCAATGCTTACATTTGCAGAGATTGTGAGGAATGATAAGCATTCCTATATTTCTCCCCCAGCCAACCTTCTTTTCTTTCTCTCTTTTATCTATTCACTCAATCAGTGAATGTTTCTTGGATTGCCTTAGACTTTAGCAATTATTAACTGTAAAATAACTGAACTATAAATCAATAGGAGATTCTGAAAGGATTCTGTTTTTCTCTTACCCCTTCTTTTTTTTTTTTTCTTTTTTTTTTTTTACCAGATCCTCTGTCCCTCTCTTCATGCTAATCTTTAATTCATGGCAAACTTTAATAAATTCTATAGGGGCACTTTTAACTTATTGTAATTGTTGAAAACTTAAGATATACAAGTACAAAGGTATTGAGCAAACTGTTCTCATTTACATTTACCAACTTTCTTATTCCCCACTGTAAGATATTACCTGTAAACTTCATTGTGTGTTGTTCTTTGAGGGCTTCGATGACAAAAACTTAAGTAATGCAGGTCACCCATAATGGGTTGAACTCCACTAACTAGAAATTTCATTATTTTACAAATTTATTCATTTTAGTAATTCGGTTACTTAAAACTACTTCTTCATTTGTTTTGAAAAGAATATTATGAAATTATATATAGCCCACTGGTACTCCACACTAACTCTTAGAAATTATAACACTAAAAAAATTATAATACCTCAAGTATTATTTGAAGAATGAGTAGATATTAAGAATGACTTGATTATTAAATAGTAGATAACTTAAAATAGTATTTCAAGACACCTGAATAATTTCTCTAATTGGGCATTTGTTTTTAATTTCAGTATCAGAAGCTTTGAGATCAACAGGGGTACCATCTCATTCTGCAATTTCACAGCATTCTAAGGGAAGTAAATCACCAGATTTGCTGATGCATCAAGGTCCACCAGACACTGCAGAATTCAGTATCAGAAGCTTTGAGATCAACAGGGGTACCATCTCATTCTGCAATTTCACAGCATTCAAAGGGAAGTAAATCACCAGATTTGCTGATGCATCAAGGTCCACCAGACACTGCAGAATTACTGAAATCATTACCTCAGAAATACAGAAGGAAACTTGTGTCTCAAGAAGAAATTGAATTTATCCAAGTATGTTGTTGCTCTTTATCACAGGACTGTGCAAAACACCTTAACATTTTGGCTTTTGGAATTTCATTTGCTGATTTACATGTTCTTCCCATTGTCTTTGCCAAGGAGTGGTCACAACTAAAACAGAGATGGTCAGGTAGGCCAGGACTCTGAGAAACAAACCATAATTGGAGCCCTCAGTAAATATGCATGATTAGGGCTGGCCAGTTAAGTCAGCTGGTTACAGCATATTGTTATAACCCCAAGGTCAAGGGTTCGGGTCCCCATACCAGCCAGCCGCCAAAAAAAAATGTGCATGATTATAATTATAGCATAATATGGTAAATATCAATAGATATAACTACATGAAAAAAAGCTCTTTGGGATCCTCATTAATTTTTCAGAGTGTTTTAAAATGCTTCTGAGACTAAGAAATTTGAGGACAACTGATCTAGGTCAATCTTTGGTCCCTTCCAGATCTGAAATTTTGTTTACATCAATTGATACAAGTGCCTAAAAGCTATGACAATTCTGAAATTGTCTTTTAAAAACTAAAGATCATTTGCTTAATATTGTATAAATGTGTATAGTGGCCATGAAAACATTTCCTCTTTCAATTTAACATCTAATCTTTATTCCTTTCTTTTTTCCTTTTCAGCGTGGAGGTCCAGAATAATCACTGTGAGCTGCAGTTTGTCATCAAACAAAAGAATTGACTTTATGATAAAGGACTTCCAAAATAACAAATGAGAAATTGTATATTAAACAACTTTAATAAACTAAAAAAAAATGAAATATAGAAAATTTAGATGGACACTTGTATCTCCTAATTTATGTATCTTGGTCAGCTTCTCCACAAGCTTACCTAATTGTTTATATGCTTTCTACTTATTAAAGTATACATTTTTAAATGTTAGCCTATTAATTTACTCTTTTTGGGGGGGAGAGGCAGCTAGCCAGTATGGGGATCCAAACCCTGGACCTGGTTGTATAACACCACGCTCTAACCAACTGAGCTAACTGGTCAGCCCATATTAATATACTCTTGATTATCAAATATAATGTGTTGAACTATTAAAAGCACTCAGTGTTCAATATACTAGTATATATTTCCCATAATTTTACTTTTCTTTCTGTTTCTGTTTAGACACGGGAAGAATTTATCAGGCAGAACTGCTGTTTTAAGGATGTAATTTTCCTGAAATTGGATGAGGATCAGTGAAATAATGATTATTTGTTCTGAATTCTCCCACATTTTTTAATTCACAAGGTTACTGAACTATAACTGGCTTAATAAGTGTATACTTCTAGAATCTTCCTCTGTAGTCAGACGTGTTGTCCATTGTGCTACTGGCCTGCCATATCCTACTCTAAATGATAAAAATATAGCCGAGATAAAACAGTTGATTGTGGGATTTAGATTGGGGAGATAACAGAAAAGATTATTTGTAACCTATATTTTAAAAAATGCGGAAAAGTATAAAATGGAAAATAAGAGATAAAAATGAATATAGCCTAGGAACAAATGTTTCACTAGAAACTGCAATTTATTATCTTTTGGGGATGTTAAGAAAGTCTTGTTATTTTGCTTAGTTTTGTGATCACGTATGTAAATCCTGATAACTATTAACTTTCTCAAATTTAATGTCTGAAAGACAAAATCAACCGAAATATTTACTTATTAAGCAATTTATGAAATTTTAATAGGGCCTTCTTGTGTCAAGGGTGTGTATATTGTAAAAGTAAAGCCTCACAAAGCTGAATAAATTCTCTTCCATACCTTTAATGATTTCCAGACATGCTTTAAAGGAGTCATCCCTAATAGTAATAGTAGCTCATAAGCAATAGACTTGTTTTTGAGTATGTTTCTATATTTTCCCAATTGTCTATGGATTAATTTTTACTTTTTTCTACTACTCCACTGTAGAGAAAAGATCTTCTCTTGTAAATTCTGTGCTGTGGCCTAGCATAAATGTTGTCCAACACAAATGTGAGATAGGGGTTGGGGTTTAATGCTAGCAATAAGCTCTTCTGGTAATTCAGGATTCTTTCTGATTCTGGTAATATCATTTCTTTTAACATCAATTGCGGTAATACCATTACATATTTTATTTACTTAAAAAAAATTTGGGGGCTGGCCCAGTGGTGCACTGGAGAGTGCGCCGCTTGGGAGCGTGGCGGCGCTCCCGCCGAGGGTTTGGATCCCATGTGGAGAACGGTTCCCGCTCACTGGCTGAGCGCGGTGCGGGCGCAACACCGAGGGTTGCGAGCCCGTTGCCGGTCCTCGGTACGGGCGCGACACCAAGGGTTGCGATCCCGTTACTGGTCAGTAAAAAAGACAAAAAGAAAAAAAAAAATTGGGGAAAATTACTTTAAAACTAGCACTATTTTATTTTTCTCCTTAGCTTTCTCATTTCAGTAAAAGGAAAACCAGGGCCATTTTTTTGCTTTCAGAAAGAGTAGGTCCAGGTAGTGAAAAATGGTTTGAGTAATACTGTGAGCCAGCAGTTACAAATCCTAATCCTGGAACTGTGGATGTATATCTGAGGGCAATTTTTACTACAACTGCTGCCATGAAAATCAAAATGAAAAGACTTGTCACTAACAATTTGTGAGTTACAGGCATGGCAAAAAGGCATGTTAGTGAGAATTGCTGTCACAGGATGAGTTCCCAAGAAGGACGGAATCATAGAATTCTGGCTACGTTTCAAGTTGCATAGCCTGTATTTTCACTTAGGGGTTAAGCACTTGAAGATATGTAACCATCAGCAAACTGCTTAATTTGTCCAAGTTTTAGTTTTCTTCTCCAGTTCTATACGGTATGAAAGACAGGATCAAATTAGTGTATTATCTCATTGTAACAAATCAGCCCCAAATTAAGTGGCTGAAACCGATAATCACTTAATAGCTCATGGTTTCTCTGGATCAGGAATTCAGAAGCAGCTTAACTGGGCAGTTTTGAGTGTCTCATGATGTTGCAATCAGACACCACCTGAGGCTACTGTCATCTGAAGGCCTGGATGGGGCTGGACCATGTGACTCACACATGGTTAGCAAGTTGATGCTGGCAATTGGCAGGAGTCATCTCCACAGGGCTGCCTGAGTAAATTCATGACATGACTGGCATGCCCCAGAACAAATGGCCCAAGTGTGGAAATCAGAACAGCAGCCTTTATGATATAGCCTCAGAAATCACACAGTCACTTCCACCATATTCTGTTGGTTGCACAGAACAACCTGTTTCAATGTGGGAGATTATACTAGTGCATTAATACCAGAAGGCAAGGATTGTTATGGCTATCTTGGAAACTGGCTGATACAAATGTGAAAGTGCTTGTAAACTGTAAAATGCTATGCACGTGCTTAATGATAATTTATATATACAATGACCTCACTGTCCGTGAATGTCATCTAAACACTGCATTCATTATCCTATTTTATCTTTTTTTTTTTTTTTGTGGTTGGCCAGTACAGGGTTCAAACCCCCAGACCTTGGTGGTGTTAGCACCATGCTCTAACCAGCTGAGCTAACCATCCAGACCCATTATCCTATTTTAAATATCTCCAGATAGGAATTTACTTGTCAGCAGCATAGCATAATGTACTGATTATCAATTCATATGTTATGGCACACTTGGGCACCTCAAGCTTCACAGGTGTTAACATCAAATTTAGCTAACTAGCTTATTTCTACTACAAGTGAGGTCAAATTACTGTTGGAGTGATGTCTGTCAGAAGGAACTTTGATCTAATTCATGTGACATCATGCATCACTAGTATGACTTGCCACAATTAAGAGGGATAAATGGTAAAGATGGTGTGTTTTCTGCAATGTATGAGAGTTTTGCCTAGACCCAAGTAGTGGCAAAGGGCTGAAAGATATACAATAATATAGTAATGGCTAACAAACTAAGCACTTAGCTGTTAGACACTATTCTAAGGGCTTTACACATGTGAAGTCCTTTGAGTAGGTCCTATTATAGAGGAGGAAACTAGGAACAAAGTAATTTGCCCAAGTCATTTAGTGATTGAATACTGGAGTATTCAAATGCAGGCTGTCTGGTACCAGAACAAAAACTCAACTTCTATACTAACTTGACTAAATTATTGGCCTTGGTATTCTGCGTTCTTCAACATATCTTTGAAAAATTAGAATGCTCAACTCATAGAAATATTAAATTCAAAGAAAAGAGGAAACATTTCCATGTCGACAGCTACTCCAGCTCAGAACCTTGGAATCATCCTTTCCCCCCCCCAACCCGTATCTAGCCTGTCAGCAAATCCTATTGACTAGAAGTCAAACTGGTAC